GAGATTCATTGCTCATGCAGATGCGTCGCACGCCGACTGGCAAGACCGGAAGTCCACCGAAGGAAGCATTTGGTGATTCGCTGGCGCCCCTATCATGTGGTCCACAAAGAAACAGACGGTAGTAGCATCATCTACTATTGCGGCTGAATGGTGTGCTCTAGATCAACCAGCCAAAGACGCCAAGTGGCTTGCTAAGATAGCATCCCAGCTTGGTCTCCCGAGATACCAGGACCCCATTACCATTTTCACTGACAACATCAACACCCAGCTACTTTTGGCAAAGAAAGGGTGCAAGAACAGCACCAGATGGCTTGAAATACGCTGGTTTTTCGTCAAGATTGCTGTGGCAAGAGGTCATATCGACGTCAAGCGAGCTGACACGAAGCGCAACCCAGCTGACGGCTTCACCAAAGCACTTGACCCCATTGCATTCAAGAGATTCCTAGAGATGCTAGGAATGAAGGCCATAAAGTGAAATCCAATGGCACGGAGAGTATGTAACCTACATGCGATCCAGGCAAAATGAAATGAATGTGAAAAGCACGAAATAAGGAGATTTACATACAAAGTGCAACTGGGAAAAGGAGACATTTAATTGGCCAAGCAGGAAGGTTTTGAGGATATCAGATGAAGTGGCTCTGGTCCATGGAGGGAACGTTGAGATCACATGACAACCCAGATCATGTGACCCTGGATGGTCCTGAGAGTAGTTAGTCCTCGGAGGGTCAAAGCTTCTCTTCTTCCCCGTCCGTTTCTCAACCAATAATATTGCCATTATTGCTTGCTTCTTTTCCCCTGTCAAGAGTCTTGCCAAGAGACTGGAGGTTAACCAGCTCATAGTAGCGGCCCTTGGTGCGCAGGAGCTCGGTGTGGGTACCGCTCTCGACGATCTTGCCTTGGTCGAAGACATAGATGATATCAGCCTTCTGGATTGTGCTGAGACGGTGAGCCACGGCGATAGTGGTACGACCACGGGCGGCAGCGTCCAGGGCAACCTGGACGACCTTCTCGGACCCAGAGTCCAGGGCTGAGGTGGCTTCGTCCAGGAGCAGGATCTTAGGGTTGCGGAGGAGGGCACGGGCGATGGCGACACGCTGCTTCTGGCCGCCGGACAACATGCCTCCCTTGTTTCCGACGACGGTGTTGAAGCCATCGGGGAGAGACATGATGAAGTCGTAGATGTTGGCGTCCTTGCAGGCCTTGACGAGCTCTTCTTCGGTGGGGTCATCGTTGGGGCTACCCAACAGGATGTTCTCCTTGACGGTACCTTGGTACAGAGTCGGCTCCTGGCTGACCAGCGCCAGGTGGCTGCGGTAGGAGTTGACGTTGAGGTCGGCGATGTTGTTGTCATCGACATAGATGCCGCCGGAGAGGACATCATAGAAACGCTCGAGAAGGGCAATGGCGGTACTTTTGCCGCATCCGCTGGGTCCGAGCAGTGCAATGTACTGGCCGGGCTTGACGGTGAGGTTCAGACCGCGGAGCACGGGTTGCTCGGGACGGGTAGGGTAGCGGAAGTGCACGTCCTTGAACTCAATGGTTCCGTCGCAGTGATCCAAGTTCTCGCCCTCATTGGACCAGGTGTCAATAATGGGGCGACGCTCGAAATGCTTGAGGAACTCGGCGGCGGCGTTCTTCGCCTTGCCCATGTCAGGGGAGAAAGAGAACACAGTTCCTGCGGACTGGGCACCGAACAGAATTTCACTGAAGCACACGAAGAAGCGGAAGGTGTCGTACTCGTGGTGGCCGAGCAGGGTTCCACCATACCAGAAGCCAAGGGCGACACAGAAGAAGACCAAGGCCTGGGATGATGCATACAAGATCGACGACTTGGTAACCGACAACAAGCTTGCGCGACCCTGGAGGTCGAGTTGGGCGTGGTAGACTGACCAAACATCGGTCTCACGGGTAAGCGAAGCCACAGTGCGAATGGCAGACGTGGCCTCACAGGCGTAGCTGGCAGATCCCTCATAGGCAGCCTTGGAACGTGACTGGAATTCGGCGAGCATGTAGAAGCGGTAGAAGCCACAGGCCAGAAGAACCGGAACGACGGAGATACAAACGAGGGCAAGCTTCCATCCGAAAGCGAGAGAGATCACAATTGCAGCCATGAGAGTTGTGCAGGTCATCAGAATTGTGCCAAGAGTCTGTCCACTGATACCGGACAAGTACTTGGTCTCAGTCGAGAGGAAAGAAGTCAAAGCACCGGTGCTGTTCTCCTCGCGATCGAAGAAGTTGATGTCCTGGCGGAGCATGACGCGGAAGGCCTTGCTGCGGGCCTTGTGGATCAATCTCTCGGAGCTGAACGCGAAGGCGATACCGTGGATGGAAAAAGTGATGAATTGAGCGATTCCAACAACAAAGAACATCAGAGACCAAAAGTTGGCATCCGATCTGAGCTTGTCGTACTGGGGTTTGGGCAAGGACAGTGCGCTGATAGCTTTGGCGTACAAAAAAGCCTGAGTAGGCTGACCACAACCGGCGAGAATCGAGAAGCAAATTCCGAGGGCCATGAACAGCCGCTCTTCCTTGTTGAACGAGGCGATGAACTTGATCAGAGTCCAGAGGGAGTACTTGTTGCCGCCTTCGGCGATCCTCTTCGAGAGAACAACGCTGGACACGGAATTGCGAGACTGCTCGCGCCGGACTTCGATGTCGTCCTGGAACGCTTCGGCGTTATCCCTGACAACGGTGGAACCACTGGCAATAGGCTTGGCGCCTGCGATGTGACACTTGGCCATGTGCTTAACGCCGTGTTCATCCTTATCTTCGTCCAAAGCACCAACGTCCTTCTCCTCGTTGATGCGCTGGGCTTCGACGAGCTTGAAGTAAGGACCGTCATGTTCAGTGAGGTCGTCGTGAGTACCCTGCTGGACAATGGAGCCGTTGACAAAGACGACAATATTGTGCGCAGTCTTGATGGTTGACAGACGATGCGCAATGACGATGGTAGTGCGGCCCTCAGCAGCACGGTCAAGTGCTGCCTGGACGACACCCTCGGACTTGGTATCCAGGGCGGAAGTGGCTTCATCGAGTAGGAGAATCTTGGGGTCGCTGACGATAGCACGAGCGATGGCAATACGTTGCTTCTGGCCTCCAGACAGCAAGAATCCACGCTGGCCGACATTGGTTTCGTATCGTTCCGGAAGGTCAGTAATAAACTCGTGAGCGTTGGCCATCTTGGCGGCATTCTCAACGAGTTCCTTGATATTTTCTTCGGACTCGTGCTCGAAGCGTGTTCCAATCAGACCGTGGCGGATGTTGTGGTAGATGGTGGTGCCGAACAGAATAGGTTCCTGGCTGACCAGAGAGATCTGTTGGCGCAGCCATCGCAGGTTGAGAGTCTGGATGTCATGTCCGTCTAAGAACACCTGACCACCAACGGGCAGATAGAACCGCTCGACCAGACCGACCACAGTACTCTTGCCAGAGCCTGAAGGCCCGATTAATGCGGTGACCTTACCGGCAGGCATAACAAGGGAAACGTCCTGCATGACTGTAACTTCGGGCCGGGAGGGATAGATGTGTTTCACGTTACGGAACTCGATCTGACCCATGACGTTGTCAAGAATGATGCCTTCATCTGAAGTAGGGTCCAGTGGGGATTGACGGTCGATAGTCGCTAAGATCTTGGCAGCGGCGGCCACAGCATTGGTAAAGGCCTGGCCGTTCGGGCTGACGTTACCCAAGCTGAAAGATCCGATGAGGATCGCCATCAAAATGGTCACGACATGTCCAACATCGACCTTGCCCTCCACCAAAAAACGGGAGCCCATCCAGAATCCAAGACCGTAGTTCATGAACATGATCCCAAACATGCCACCAACCATCACGCCGAGAGCCATTTGCAGGAGCATGCCCCAGCGCTCAGCGCGGACCAAGTGAGCCTCGTACTGCTTCGCGAGCTTGTCCTGAGTACCGAAGGCGGTCGCATTGCGGATCGAGCTGATGACTTCCTCGGCTACGGTACCACCGGCACCATAGCTTTCTAGGGAAAGCTTGCTGTACTTAACGATGAACTTGGAGCCTCCGCCCATAATCACGACCAGAGCGACAATAGTCGAAGTACAGATACCGGCCAAGGGGGCATACTTGATGTAGGCCACCACGAAGGCAGTCACGAAAGTATAGATGGCAGTCAAGGTTAAACCGACCTTTTCGGAGACACCATCCTGAATGAGATTGGTGTCGGCGGTGATACGGGTGGTCACTTCGCCTGCACCGAGCTTGTCGAAGTAGGCGATGTTCTGGCGAAGGATGGCTTCGAGGTAGTGCTCCCGAATCTTCTGCGTGACGTGCTCCCCGGTGTAGATGAAGCCGACGGTGCTGATGTAGACCGTGACAAACTCACCAATGCCGAGGTAGACGAAGTACAAGACGTTGCTGGTCAACTGGTGGTAGAATTCGCTGTAGGGGATGGTGTTGAGCATGATCTTTTGGAAGGCTGTTGCCAAGGATCCAAAGAGGATAGTGAAGAGAGGCAATGCGGCACCGGCAGCAATGGCGCAGAGGGTGCTGACCAGGATGATGAGCATGTCCATGCGGGAGGCATATCGATAGAGGCCGAAGAAGGAGACTTTGACCGGAGGCGCATCTAGCTGTCGCTTGAGGATGTCCTTTTCATGCTGCGACAGATGACCATAGAGCACATCTTCGTCTGTCGAGACTGGAGCTTTGGTCTCATGTTCCTTTGCTGTTGATGTATAAGCGAAATCAGAATCGCGCTTGTCGGTAGTTTCCTCCGTGAACTGAGGGTCCTCCACCACCTTCTCGGCGGCCGTTACGCCCTCCTCGGGTTGTTGCATATTGGATTAAGTGAACCGAGTCGAGTCCTTGGTTGAAGTGGAACTCTACTCCATGGAGGTTGAAGAAGGTTGAGATTGTCGGGTTGATCTGTAGTCTATGGGTTGATAGGTTGAATGAAGGAGACGAGAGTCCGGGAGCCCGGGAGTTGAAAGGAGATAAGAGACAGATATTTGATCACAAATAAGCGCAGCAGAAGGGAAAAATGGGGTAGATTAAGAAAAGTAATGATTAACAAAGGGGGGAAGAAACGTATATTAATTCCTTATTAATCCCCCGTGAAAGTGAAAGTGCAAGTCCATTATTCTTCCGCTGCTTTGCTCCGTTTCTTATTATATTCTAGTCTTGTTTTCCTGCATCGGTGGGTCGGGTACTGCAGACTCCGACCTCTTTATGCACCTATACCTCACAAGGATAATGACCTTGATATAGGCCTCTAAATTACCGCCTCCTAAAATACCAAGCCCTCCTCGAACACACGCCATTTACCGGAATATTTGCGCCTCTGTGACACTTGACAGGCACGAACTTGTCTGATATTGCTTTTTCCCACTGCAGCGTAGTTGTAAAATTAGGTTTAAAATAACTCTTGGTTCCATCTGATTGGGGGCTGATATCATTGTGATGTGTTCACATGGAACCACTTGGCATGAAAGTCCAAGGTTCACGATTGACATACACTTTAACGGTGGAACGTATTCGTCCAGAATATATGCATGCGCCACCAACCTAATCTGAATACCTTACTATCATCATCATTCTACAGGTCTATTAGTACTGTTAGCCAATGGCATATTTTAAAGGCCCAGACTAGTTAGTCAATCTAAATATGGCATTTTCTGTTCATCCGTCTGTCTTTTGCTCCCTGCAATACGGATCCTCAACAATCCAGCGTGTCCACCTAGCCATGGATATCGAAAAATTGCAGATCCTTTACATCTATGTCATTGTATCCTGAGGCCGATAGGTCCTTGCTGGTTCTATAGCGCAGTTGCGAGTATGTCTCATTTGACTTTTGGAATTCATGGTGCACCAGGCATGTATTGCCTAGTCTCTCAGGCATGGATAACTCGATCAGGATTGATCCTACCGACCAGAGTATAGTTCCGGAGAAATCCTCTCCATTTATATAGAATCTCTCTCTTGTTGAGGGATATCAGACTTAAACACCTCGCTGGCCTTGACCATACATACTTCCCCAGTATATTCATCGTACAAATTTTGACAGACTTCCCTCCACTTCCATCATCTTGTCTGTTGTGCAGATTGGAAATGAATATTTTGGTAAACGTCAAGAGCAATCTGATGTATGGCTCTACAGGTCCAGAATTTATATACAATGCTTACTACTAACCTTCAACTTTCACGCTATACGGTTCGTAAATTGGGAGTTTGGCAACGCAAAGTTCACCACCTGGTTTAGTCTATTTAGTTGTTAATATTAACCGTTTGCTTGAGGACTGATGACCAGCGGCTAGATCATTTGGGCTCGAATTGTATGAAGTGTAACACATTCAACTGCATGCGCCGCTTACAGTGAGAGTGAATGTTCTAGACTGAGCTGCAAATCTACAAGGGCTTCATAAATCCGGGAAATGAGTAACGTTAAAGTTAACCTAGGTGTCTGGAACCACGAAGCACGTCTATTCTAAATTACATATTTTTGACGCATGGGTGAGGAGGCGATTTTAACTTTATATTGGACAAGAAGCAAATTCAATTTTGAAATATAGACATCTGAACTGTATTCTCTACTCAATTTTGAATTTCTTACAGCACGTCTTTTACCTTGAAGAGATCATTTTTGAGGATCAAACGTTTACACTAAATATACTGTTTGCTAAGGTATATGCAGCAGTATTTAACCTTTGCAAGGAGAGTTAGTTTTTATCCACGATCAAAATGTGCGCGTGATTAGAAATTTCTTAGGATTAGCACAATGATATAGTAGGTATGTGTATAGGGCTCGCTAGGCGCTGCCTTCTAACTAGATTGGGCGTCGCCTGACTTAGAACCAGTTTTTATCTCTTTATTTAGGGTTTGTCCCACAGGGAGGATTTATTTAGGGTACTTTGGATGTTTACAGCAATAACCTCGATGGTTAATTTTGCAGACGGATTGGTTTCTGTGATTTATCTTCTGTTTTCGGAACTCCGAGCCCCCTGGGGCAAAGTTGTGAGCCATTGAGTGGGCGGATAATATAAGCGTCCCCACGGCTGCCGTGTGGCGTAATTAGTGGGTTCCTTGTAATTGGCGGGTTGTTGTGTGCCCTGCGGGAACTAACGGCCGACCGTTAACGGACCAACAAGGGGGTGGGGCATCCCGAGCCCGCTGGAGCAAAGTTGTGAGCCATTGAGTGGGCGGATAATATAAGCGTACCCACGGCTGTCATGTGGCGTAATTAGTGGGTTCCACATAATTGGCGGGTGGTGGTCTGGATTTGATTGGCAGAAGCTTGCGTCTCGTCTCGTTCCTTATTGCATGGGAACTGTTACCCCCCCTTACAATATGTCTGTCTACTCTTACTACCCCATTCATGCAACCGAAGGAAGACCTCACTGGAGCTGTCAAACTATCTACTAGGGGCGACCAATGACGCCAATCATACCAAATGGCAGTCTGAGAATTTCTGGCGTAGCGTTACCCAACCAAAGTGCGTGCGAGAGAAAATACGATGAAGCTTTTGGGAATAGCATCGCTGCTTTAGTTTATTATTCTCTACATTTTCTGTCTCTCATTCTGATACAGTGGCGACCGTTATTGTCTTCCGTGTCGGAAATAGAGGTGCTCTTTCAGCCCCTACCACATGATACACCAAGCCTTTTCTGGCTAGCCCTGTATCTCAAGAAATGTTCCGGCCGAATGGAATAATACCAAACGCGGAAAAAAACGAGGTAAGCTGTGTGTTCGTGTCTAGTTACAGCTTCAAAAATAATTCGCCTGCGCCCTTCCCTCCCCTCAAATGTTGTCGTCCCAACTGAAGCATCAACAACCTTTTTCAAAATCTCCCAACCGTCCACAAAAAGGCACGAAAGCTCGATCCTTGACAGCATAAAGTCATAATCCACATGATGCGCAGTAGGAAAAGAGTCATACATCTCAAATGGCCAAGGTAGCGAAGTGTAGTGAGTGTTCTGTCACTAACATACGCAAGAACTTGCGGTTGTTCGGCAGTGCCAGATTTCCCCCAGTCCCTGCCGGCCGGCCATCAAATATAACTCCTGTGATGCTGGGCGCCTTCTGTTAACATCCCGCTCAAAAATCCAGCCTATATATCCAGGGATGGCTATCTTTCTACCGGATGAGTTCAACATATTAACTTCATCATGCAGCATCAAACGAGCTCTTTCCCGGGCTAGTTGGATGAAGAAGAAAGCCCAGAAAATAGCGAAAGACCAGAACCCTCAACTGCGAGATTTCTACCAGTACAAACTTTCTGAGTTTCGTTCGTATCATCTGGTATTTGTTGATGAATCCGGATATGATAAACGGGTGGGATCGAGGCGGCCTGGTTGGTCTCCACTCGGCGTGACGCCAATCCAAATATTAGTTTATAGTGGTTGAACTTGGGGTTGGATGTCGGTCAAGTTTGACATGGTAGTCTCTTTGTAAGTCTTAAGGAAGCAGATAGAAAGACGGGTTGATTCTCTTAGAAACGACCGTCTGTACCCCACCCAAGCCCTTTTGCCATAAGTATGCAATGGTAACGAGGTGGGTCCTCCGCATGACGATTTGACCAGAGTCGCGTAGCTGATCACCAAGAACATTTAGTGCCATGCCCCTGGCGAGTAACTTGGTAACCACGACGCATGGTGAAGGAAATCTTTCAAAACTTGGAAAGCTCCCACGTCGCTCGGCTGAATATTGGAGCTTGGGTTCGACCTGGAGCTCTATGTGCTGATCGAACCAGATTTTCCAGGTTCCCCAGAGTTTCCAATGTTACCAGTGTTACCAGAGTTTCCAGAAGGTAGTACACCCGGGAAACCATACCGGTGTGTTGGGAGGGTGGAATCGCAGTAGGCAAGTTCCCAATTGGGACGTCTGCTGTTATGGAGAGTGTTACCGCTGGGAGGAGCTACAATCGCAACTGGTGGGGGCTGGCACACTATCGCAATTGGGCGATACTGTGGTTGGGCTTCAGTTCATCAAGCGGGCAAGAGGCAACGCTATGGTAACATTTGAATGAATAACTATGTATGGCAAGGTCAAAATTTGACTATATTCCAGCATATGGCCGTTTTTAGAATCTGGAAACCCGCCGGCCCCCGGTTTGTGTATTCTTCAGCGGGCCTTATGCTGCCACACCACGCTCAGGTGCTAGGGCTTCATGCTTCCCATGAAGCATTGTTCTAGATTACGCTTTGTACGCTTTGTCAACTAAGTCTCGCACGGCATTACTCAACTCCGTGATAACCTGACCGGACCGAGGGATGGTGTGGCCTCGTCCAGTGTCGAATATGGCTGCCGTATCAGGGTCACAAACGTTGAATAGGGCTAGCGCGCCGTATCGGTAGGGGTCTGTCCCAAAGATACATGGTGAGTATATCGTTCATATGAGGGGGATAGAAATCAAAATTACCATTTGCACCGACCACATGAAGCGTCGGAACGTCCAAATTATAGTCGCTCTCATCTGCCAGGACCATGTCTTCCTCGGGGGAGAGAGGAGGCCAGCCGGTGAAGAAAACCGCGCATTTGATGCGACGAGGACGGCCGGTCTCCTGGGCCTTCCTATCTTCGTCCATGATGAGACTGGCAGCCATGGTAGCACCTTCACTATATCCGACGATGCCGTCGATGTCGGGATTCCTTTCCAGTGTGTTATAGAGGTAATCCATGACTTGCTGGTGGTTATTCCAGCGGCCATCCCAGTCCTTGCCCAAAGCTCTCATCGCTTCTTCGGGACTCGAACCGTGCGGAGCCTTTCGAACACGGGAGAGCATCGATTCCTCCGCCGCTCCTCCATCCTCCAACCACCGATAATGCGGCCCAGCGCCAAAATACTCCGCGAAGCCTAGGACAATATTCCAATCAGCGTCTTGGCTATATTAGTGTTTGGGCTCGGGGGAAACGTACCTGCCGGGGGAGACACAGAAACAGGGCCGTTGATAAAGTGGAATGAAGCGGATCCGTCTATGGCCAGCTCCTTCACCAGAGGAGCTGCATTATTGTCAGTAAATCCTCTCAAATCCCCAAACCGAAATGGTAATTACCAAGCTGGATGTCAATATTCTGCGACAGAGAAGTCAGCATTGAGTTTCTTCATAGTATCTCCAATCACCTACGTCAATGTTGCCAATGGCACCGTGCAGACAGAGGAACCTCATCTCTGTATGGATCTGCGATGATCTGAATCCGAGGGGAGTATGATATGAGCTGTAGAATTGATGAAGAAGAACAGAGAGAGGAGACCAGCGAGTATAGTAATCAAATTATAGAGCCGGAAAATAAATTACCGCTCGGGATTTACAAGTGGTGTAGAGCAAACATTGGAAACCAAAAAGCACGGGATTTCCACCGAGGGATCGACGTCCAACGACAAAACCTTTTTAGCAACTGCTGCAAATTAATCCTTGACAAGCACCTCAATCCTGTGGCTTAGGTTCCCTCACGTGGAGACATGTGAAAGTGTATCTGAAATTGGTATGATGGCATAATGTGGGACAATACAACATTTCAGTCAAAAGTCACGACCTCGAGAATAACCATTGAGGATGTATTACCGCCACTCGAAGTTCTTGAGGTAGCACTGACCCATGTAACTTGTGATATTCACTTGATTCTTACCTTTCCGTCAACCCGGCAGCCGTATGCGTCGATGTCATGGACAGAGCGTAATCTACGATTCATATCCGTGTCCTGTTACATTGGTAGTTAAAGTGTCTTAAGAGCACTAGAAATTTGATTCGTTACGACAGTTGGCCCACCCAATGTTAGTAGAGCAATATTATCAGTCCATTGGGTGGAAGTGTATAGTGATGATCCTTTCCTGTTGTTCTCGCCTGGTCGATGGCTCCGAAGAAGAGACAGCTTCATCCAGCTGTACCCTCCCAAAAATGATCGACAGCAGAAGAGCCGGAGGGGGTGAGGTATTTGTAACACTATATAAGCCACCGTAACCAGTCGGTTTTTCCCCAATATCTAAGCGGCACCCCCTTCCCCAATAAACCCTCTAGACCCTCGTTACACCTTCTGTACTTTTCATCATGACCAATATGAACGGTGCTGATTTTGAGGGTGTGCCTCCCGGCGATCAGGGCGTGCCCCAGCCCATCGCCATCATTGGGTATGCCTGTCGGCTGCCGGGGCAAGTTACAACTCCCAGTGACCTATGGGAGCTATGTACCCGAGCTCGAAGTGGCTGGTCACCCATCCCCAAAGAGCGTTTCTCCGTCGAAGCATTCCACCACCCTAACCCGTCCAAGGTTGGTTCCTTCAATCCAAAGGGAGGCTACTTCCTGGACGAGGACATCGCCCGCTTCGATGCTCCCTTCTTCAATTTGTCCGTTCAGGAAGCTTCGTCCATGGACCCCCAACAGCGCTTGCTCCTAGAGTGCTCGTATGAAGCTTTGGAGAGTGCTGGAATCCCTAAGGAGAGACTTGTGCACCGGGACGTGGGCGTCTTCGTCGGTGGCAATTTCTCTGATTATGAGCTCAATAACGTTCGCGACATCGAGACTATCCCCATGTACCAAGCAACCGGCTGTGCGCCCTCACTCCAATCCAACCGCATCTCATACTTCTTCGATCTACAGGGGCCCAGTATAACAGTGGACACGGCTTGCTCTTCTTCGCTTGTTGCGCTTCACTATGGAGTACAGAGCTTGCGAAGCGGGGAGTCCAAGGAAGCTCTTATTGCTGGTTGTCACCTCAACATCGTACCGGACTTTTTTGTTTCTATGTCTATGTCACAGTAAGTATTTCTGTGTCTTCTAAGCCTAGCTTTGGAACATTTTATCTAACTGTCCGGCACCGTTTAGATTGTTTAACGACGAGGGTAAAACCTTCTCTTTCGATGATAGAGCCACATCCGGTTTCGCGCGAGGCGAAGGCTCTGGTGTCGTGATACTGAAGCCCCTGGACGCCGCACTGCGTGACAAGGATCCAATCCGAGCTATCATTGCCAATTCAGGAGTCAACCAAGATGGGCGAACGAAGGGAATCACAATGCCAAATGGACAGGCCCAGGAGCAGCTTATCCGGCGTGTCTACAGAGAGGCCAACCTCAGCCCGGAAGAGTGCGGGTTTGTAGAAATGCACGGCACTGGAACAAAGGCTGGTGATCCCATCGAAGCTGCAGCAGTTCATGCGGCACTTGGAGAGAATCGGACTCCAAGAAACCCGCTTTATATTGGATCAGTCAAATCTAATATTGGACACCTAGAGGGCGCCAGTGGTATCATTTCTATCATTAAAGCAGCCATGATGCTTGATAGAGGGTTCATGCTTCCTAACGCTGAGTTCAAAAATCCAAACCCTAATATTCCGATGAGAGAGTGGAATATGAGGGTTTTAACGACGACGCGGCCCTGGCCTTCTCGTAAGAAGTACCTGAGCGTTTCAAATTACGGGTTTGGAGGAACCAATGCACATGTTGTCCTCGAAAAGGCGCCTCTAGCATCCAAGGCCCCGGTTGAGGCTGTTGAGGATGTTGACGTGGACCCCAAACGCAAGCTGTTCCTGATCTCCGCCAACGACAAGGAGTCTATACGCACCAGGATCAAAGACTTTGGCATCTACTTCGAACAACATCCAGAAGTTTTTGAAAAGGCTCTCTTCGGCAACTTCGCTTATACTCTCGGCAACAAAATGTCCCAACTCTCCTACCGTGTTGCAGTTTCAGCCACCTCGCTGGACGACCTTGGTATTCGTCTTGCTCAACTGAAGATCAACCCATCCCGGGTTCTTGGCGCCCCGATAGCCTCGTTTGTCTTCACTGGACAAGGATCGCAGTGGGCACATATGGGTGTTTCCCTCATGCATGAATACCCAGTCTACGAGTCAGCCATCAAACGAGCCGATCAATGCCTACGAGATCTCGGCGCTGAGTTCTCCCTCATCGAAGAGTTGGAGAAGGATGCCACAACCTCCGAAATCAACTCCCCTCATCTCAGCCAGCCGGCCTGCACATCGCTTCAGATTGCACTGGTTAATCTTCTTGGATCTTGGGGTATCCGTCCTGCTTCAGTGATTGGCCACAGCTCTGGGGAGATCAGTGCAGCCTATGCTGCGGGAATCTATGACTTGGAGGGGGCCATGGCCCTGGCTTACCGTCGCGGGCAAATGACCTGCTTGCTCAAGTCCTCATTCCCGTCCTTGAAGGGCGCCATGATTGCCGTCGGCGCTAGTCGCGAGGCTGTTGAGCCCATGCTGAACACCCTCTCTGGATACTCCACCGTCGCTTGTGTGAACAGTCCTTCCAGCGTGACCGTGTCAGGAGACGTGTCCGCAATTGATGAACTCGAAAAGGTTCTCCAAGACAAGCAGCTCTTCAACCGGAAATTGAAGATTGATGTCGCCTACCATTCCGACCACATGAAGAACGTTGCCGAGGAATACCTGGCTGCGATTGAGTCTATTCAGCCCTTCCCATCGGCAACGGCTTTATTCTACTCTTCTGTATATGGTCGCCTAGCAGAACCTTCTGAGCTTGGCCCAGAATACTGGGTTGCGAACCTGACCTCGCCGGTGTTGTTCCCCGACGCTCTTGGCAAGATTGTGTCGGACGATGAAAGACGACCTAACCTTTTTGTTGAGATTGGTCCACACTCTGCGATGAAAGGCCCCATCATGGATACTCTAAAGAGCCTGGGTCCCACTGTCTCCAAGGTTGGATATATTCCTACCCTTCTCCGCAATGGGGATGCAACCCAATCGGTCTTGGATACCGCTGCTGCTGCCTACGTGCGAGGCGTCACACTCAGCATGATAGATGTGAATTTCCCCAAGACCGGTGCGGCAAAACGCTGGTTCTTGAATAACTTGCCTCGGTACCCTTGGCAACATGGAAATCGATACTGGCACGATGCCCGTATCTCGCAGAAGCATATGGTCAGAGATCGTGCCAGGAACGATGTCTTGGGGGTGATGGCAAATTACTCGAACGATCTGGAGCCAACGTGGCGGAACATCGTCCGCCTGGATGAGGTTCCCTATCTACGGGATCACAAGATGCAGGGACTGGCCGTTTACCCCCTGGCAGGCTATGTAAGTTTGATGAATGATCACTCATCAGAATGTTGGTTACTGACCGTCCAATAGTTGGTGATGGCCATTGAAGCCGCTCGACGACGTGCAGAGCACGTTGATATCCAAATCGCTCAATTTGATCTGCGGGAGGTCATCGTTGGTGCAGCACTTGTGCTCACCGATGACACGGATGCAGAAACCACTATCACTCTTCGTCCCCACGCTGAAGGTACTCGTGGGACATCCGGTCTTTGGGATGAGTTCCGCGTCTGCTCATGGAGTACTAAGCGAGGATGGACAGAGCACTGTACTGGTCAAATTCGGGTTCGCTCCGATCCGAAACAGCAGGCGGCTGGAATCTCGAGCCCCTTCGAAACTCAAGCCACCTACACGAAAGCTCAAATCGCCCAAGTCCAGGATTCGGCTACAAACCACGTCGATATCTCTCACATGTATCAGTTTCTCGGTGATCTAGGTGCTAGATATGGCCCTACCTTCCAGAGTATCGAGAACTGCTATGCCAGCCCTCGCCACTCGGTTGCTGATCTACATGTGAGAAATACCCGCAGTGTCATGCCGAAGGGATTCGAGCCTCCCCTGACCGTTCACCCATCATTCCTCGATGGACTGCTGCATCTTGTTTGGCCTATTCTTGGCCAGGGTCTGGGTCGAATGGATCTGGACACACTTTACATGCCGACAATGATCAAACGTGTGACAATCGGTCTCAACAGCCCAACCACCGCTGGTGAATATGTCAAGGCCTACTGCAATGGGAGTCCCAGCTTGCCTTCCCCTGTGCCGACCAAATTTGACCTTTTCGCCATTCAAGAGGGCTCTGCAGAGCCCTTGATCTCAATGGAGGGTCTGATCCTGACTCCCCTTAGAGATCCAGGCACTCACCGTGAAGCCACTCGTAAGCTGTGCTACAAGATTGATTGGCACCCCTTGGCCGAGATCGAGAACACTGTTGAAGATGTCCAAGAGCCCACTGACCCTGAGGAACCCAATTGCCATGCTTACACCGATGGAGACGCAGTCACAAATGAAAGCGCAGAGGCGAATGGCCATGCGCAAGCAAATGGGGATGCTGTCAAGCCCAAGCATGATCTTTTTATTTCCCACTTCGGCAAGTCCGATGGTGTCGCTGATAAGTTGAGTATTGCACTTTCTCTGGAGTATGGATATGAGAGTTCAGTTCACACTTTCGGTGAAGTCGATTATTCTCAAACGCATCTCGTCCTGCTTCAAACTGGAGCTAACTCTCTCCGACACCTCACCGAGGATGCATTTGAGAACCTCAAGAAGGCGCTGCTCAATGCTCGAGCTGTGCTCTGGGTCTACCAACTTGATTCCCCCGATGCTCAAATGACAGTCGGTTTGACTCGCACGTTGCGCTCGGAGACCTTGGCCAAGATCGCTACTCTCGGGTTGGCGCCTGAGGACATCGAAAATCCCGAGAAGCCAATTAAAGCAGCCATTGATGCTCTATGGCCCACGGATGGGGCCCAGCCCTCCAAGGACTTCGAATTTAAGGCCAATGGCTCGGAGCTCTTCGTCCAACGTATCGTGGATGATGTTGCTGCCAATAGCTTCGTCCACAATGAGACCCATGACATGATAATCTCGAGTCAGCCATTCAGCCAGCCTGGGCGACGTTTCAAGGTCCAGATCGGCAACCCAGGTGCTCTCGACTCCCTCTACTTTGTCGACGACAATTGCCCACCACTGGGCGAGAACGAGATTGAGCTTGAGGTTAAGGCAAGCGGTCTCAACTTCAAAGACATTGTGGTCTCCATGGGCCAGCTTGCACAGCCTTACATCGGAATTGAATGTAGTGGTATTGTTTCCAGTGTGGGATCCAACGTGAAGGACGTCAAGGTTGGTCAAAGAGTCATGGCCTTCCCAAAAGGCTGTTTCTCGACCTATGCCCGATGCCCTGCCACCAGCGCTGCGGAAATCCCGGCCGACATGTCATTTGAGGTCGCAGCCACAGTGCCAGTCGTCTTCTGCACTGTATACTACACTCTATTTGACCTGGGCCAGCTGCAAGCCGGCGAACGGGTCCTAATTCACGCCGGTGCCGGTGGTGTCGGCCAAGCCGCCATCATGGTGGCGCAGATGATCGGTGCAGACATCTTCGTTACCGTCGGAAGCCTCGAGAAAAAGGTGTTCTTGATGACCCAGTACGGCATTCCCGAGGACCGCATCTTCTACAGTCGTGATGTATCCTTTGCTCGTGGCATCAAAAGAGCCACCAATCAGGCCGGCGTGGACGTTATCGTCAACTCCCTGGCAGGCGAGCTGCTGCGCGAGACTTGGGAGTGCTTGGCGCCGTTCGGACGATTTGTCGAGATTGGCAAGGCCGATATCACGAAGAATACACGTCTTGACATGCAGCCTTTTGAGAACAACGTCACGTTCTCATCGGTCGATCTCACCAAGGTTGCGACGTTCAAGCCGAAGCTGATGAAGCGCCTCATGGGTGACGTTTGTCGGTTGCTTCGCGAGGGATTGGTGCAACCCATCCTGCCACTTTCGACTTATCAAATTTCTGATATCGAGAAGGCATTCCGTACTCTCCAGAGTGGTAGGAGTATGGGTAAGATTGTGGTTGTTCCACATGAAGGTGACCAAGTCAAGGTAAGCAGAAACACACTCTCCGCAAATTGATGTGCAATTCTAACTGTCCTTTTTCCAGGCTGTGGCTCCTAAGACCAGTTCCACTCTTCTGCGACCTGATGCATCGTACATCTTGATTGGTGGTACTGGTGGTCTGGGCCGAAGCATGGCCAAGTGGATGTCATCCAAGGGCGCAAAGAACATCGTTCTTGTGTCGCGTCGGGCAGCGATCAATGACAAGGTGCAAGCCTTGATCGATACCTTGGCTCCCTTAGGAGTACGGATTGTCGTCAAGGCTTGCGATGTCAGCAGCCAGCTGTCTGTCGAGGCTCTGGTTAACCAAGAGATGAAAGATCTTCCTCCGGTGCGGGGTGTCATTCACGGTGCGGTGGTGCTTCGCGTAAGATCCCTACTAGCGTTATTGTCTTGCATTTGTTATGTTCAATTACTGACCATGCCCAGGACATGCTCTTCGAAAACATGTCTCTTGAAGACTTCACATCCGTGGCAAGCAACAAGGTAGAAGGAGCCTGGAACCTACACAACACGCTGATTAATTCCCCGTTGGACTTCTTCATTGCCCTCTCATCGGTGGCCGGCATCGTCGGCAACCGCGGACAGGCAGCATACTCCGCAGCGAACGTATTCCTGGATGGATTCATGGGATACCGCCAATCCCTGGGTCTCCCAGGAACATCAATCGACCTGGCCGCGGTCAGCGACGTTGGCTACCTAGCCGACACCGACGCCCAGCGGCGCCATGAAGTATTGAGGAACATAGGCAGCCAGACCATCGACGAATCGGAGGTCCTGGCGCTGGTGGCCGCCGCGGTGACCGGCGACCTCAACCAGTCCTGCTCTGGGCAGTGCATCACAGGACTGAAGCTGGACTCATTGGAGAACAACTTCTGGGTCCAGGACGCGAAGTTCAGCGTGCTGTATGAGGCTGCCAAGCTCACGCTGGGAAGCAGCTCGCAGAGCGACGGCCCGTTGGTGCCGCTGCAGGTGGCTTTGTCGGCTGCATCATCCAAGGAGGAGGCTTTGCAGGTGTGCTACGGGGCGCTGGCCGCCAAGTTGGCACAGGTGCTTGTTCTCTCCTTGGAGGATATGGATCCTTCGGTTACGGTGAGTTCGTTAGGTCTTGACTCGCTGGTAGCTATTGAGATCCGTAACTGGATTGCCCGTGAGGCCAATGCCAATGTGCAGGTTCTGGGGCTGTTGTCCAGTGGCAATTTGATGGACTTGGCGGAGATTATTCTCAATAAGTCTCAGGCCTATACTCGTACTGAGTGAGAGGTTACTGCCCAGAGTGATGCGGCGGTATACGGGCCGTTATATTTCATGTATATTTACCATGTTATGTGTTGATTTTCTGCAGATTGTTTTCATTTGATAAACTGGTCATGTTCCAATCTCTTGCCATCCAAGTGTCCATTCTCCTCCAAATGCATCCCGGGAATCCCACGGGAATCCGAACCCGAAGCCGACGGGATCGCGGGTCCGGGTTGTCGAAAATAGTAGAAATGTTGTCACGATTTTTATCTCCTTCGTGTATCCGCCAATTGGACATATCAATGACTCTGTCTTTCATTACCCCTATTCCCTGCTATTTATGGGGCATTTCTAACTACATGACTAACCTCCGGATATACTGTATACCCGAAGCCATTCGGATCAACTGTAGACCCGGTTTCATGCAGTATTCGTAAGATATTTGTGACAAAATGGTATGATCTGTATGTATGCAGATCCTCTGCTATGTAAACAATATTCCCCTGCACCGCCTGCCCCTTCGGTCCTTTTTGCCACTTGCTCCGGTCTCTAGTACTCATCACACCTGGGGTAGAACCGCGAACCGTGACGGGTGACTGGCGAATCTATAAACAGTGCAAAAATTTTGTTGTGCATAAGATATGCATTTATGTGAAGATTTTTGAGCATTTTGGGTACAGAAATGAGTGTATTTTGAGTACGTTACGGCTCTTAGTGTTTTGTAATTATGCTATCGGAATACATTTTTTTTTCATACATCTTTATAATTAGTTAAAAGCAGGGAGTTCAAATACTAGGTAGATCAAACGAGTTGTAAACGACAGTCTTTTAACCTATTGGCTGAGCAATTTTGTGCAAAAGTCGGCCTCCGAAATGGAAAATTTATGTACAAATGAGTCGTCAAGAAGCGAGTCCCGAGTCCAGGGGGGACCAGTACACGAGTCCTGGCGATGCCTAGCAATGGATTATGAAAGCTATGGTTATCTAGGTGCGTAACGCGAACCAAATAAGTCCGTCAGATTTGAACGTGCGAGCGTTGTAGTCGATGTCCTCGCGCCTGGTCAACGTTCCTGTCTAACTTATATCTAAATGCTAGAACCTTACATTATGTAAGGGGGACGATAGTAAATCGCTCTCTGTAGGCGCAGGAAAGCAACGTATACCGAGACACAGAGTGGTTTCCTCCAAGACTACAGAGGAGCGGAAGGCTCACTCAGAGTGTCTACTTACATAAAGAACAGGGATGCTAGAGCTCGGACGTACAGCAGCACTGACAGCTACGTAGACACCATATGGAATGGGCGTAGCCCGTTGAAATATACGTATCCTCTCCTTCTAATACATACGGTGAGCATTACGCTTAGAGTCTCGGCTTTTTGTGACTCAGAATACAAAATGGCAGATTCTAAATGGCAGCTGATTTGTCTTTGTACACTAGGATACGTCTCAAGATGGCAGTCTGACAGGGTCGGCTCCCTAGCCGAAACATGTGAGACACCCCATGATTCATGGTTAGCGTGTCGCCGGCTTGTCAGCCGCCAATTGTGTGGAACCCAATATGTACGCCACAAGGTAGCCATGGGTACGGTTTTATTATCCGCCCACTCAATAGCTCAAACCTTGCTGCAGGAAATTTCGGGACGCCCCGCGGTCCACCGTTAGTTCCCGCTAGGCAACCGTTCTGCCATAGATCAATTGGATGGCAGATTGCTCCACCAATAGCAATAGGAATTGAAGCTTGACAGGATACGAGGATTGAAGTGGCCCCACTGAGCTTTTAGCGAACATCAATTTATTTGTTTTGCATTTTTATGGTATTTTTTGGGAACTAGTGTCAATGCCCTAGAAGTGAGTTGACCAAATCCAGACAGTTAAATCAATCAATCAATCAAAGTTCTATTAAACAGTTGGAGTCTAACTAGTATCGTAATGACTATGCAGGCGCTTCTTTCCAGTTGAAGCAAGAACTCGTGTCCGTACGCCTGATCATGCTCCAGTACAAAAAAAGAGGCTGGTTCTCAATGAGAGAGGACCAGCCCTTACATGTAAACCTCTTGACAGGGAGGGAAGAAGCAAGCAATAACGATAGTTTATTGGTTCTGAAACGGACAGGGAAGAAGAGAAGCTTCGACCCTCCACGGACTAACAACTCTCAGGACCATCCAGGGTCACATGACCAACCAGGTCATGTGATCTCAACACAAACTTTTTGATCAATTCATCTATGAAATACTGGCAATCGTATAGGACAGGCCGACAAGGAATAGTATGGGGAATTGCTATACCGACCCTCGGAATCCGGGCCTCAGACGCTCCGTCTCTTCTTCCTCCTTCATTCACTGTCTTAGCAAGAATGGACTCTACATGCTAGATTTGCCGCTCACACCTGGAACCGGGACTCGCGCCTTGGCGCCCCGCGGGGCTAGCGGGGCGGGTGACCCTCGAGTCGTGGCGAGGTCTATCCATTGCTGAATTTTAATTCAGATATTCGAAAGCGAGATTAGCTACAAGCCTAGAGGGTTGAGTGCCCCCAGCGTTACATCATCGAACCCTATCGGATCACTGGCAGGATTATGCTCGTCGCATTCTCCTCTTGCTAAAACCCTAGATTGTTGCCCTTTGCTTGGCCCTGCCTTGCTCTAGTGGAATGTATGGTAGTCTGAGCGGCCACCCTTCCGATTCAGCCTATTGGCCGGATATAATAACCACCTGTCCGCAGGATCCTCCCGTTAGTCAAGACAGTCAGGTCTCCTAGTTTGGGGTAATTTGGTTACACTACAATAGGAATCTGGATTCGACAGCCAGAACATTGCAAATGTCTTTCCAAGATTGACTCCTATACGACCGTGCCTGTGCTGCCCCTTACTCTTCACTCAATGACCTAAACGCCACAGGTTCGAGCGTGAGGCGAACGAAAGCTCTACGAATAACAGGTTACACTGTAAGCGTACGTTAACAATAACCTGTCTAAGCAGTATCTCAAAAGTATACCAGACTACGATGCCAAGATGGTATGATTATCAGAGGGTATATCAACGGACTACTATAAGGAAGCATTTCATATACCCAGCTATAGGGCTGGAGCTATCAGCAAAGGGTACATAAAGACACTCATTCACTAGACAACGAAGGGGAAAAAAAAAAAAAAAAAACCTCAAGAACGAAAAGGAAACAAAATCATGAACAATTTTGGGAAAAGTGCTAAGATAATCGTATGACGAACATGTCTTTCTCTAGCTCTCAATTTTCTCCCTAAACATGTAACGGGTAAAGGCTATGAGTTCTGCTAAGATAGTTAACATAGACCGATGGACGTGACCTCAAAACCGAATCATTGGGAATAAGAATTGCCGTTGCGAAAATAGGAGAATTGCTGTTAAACGGGCAAGGTTATAGACAGAGAATAGACATGGTGAGCGTCTAACTCTAGCTGATACATCTGGTCTTGCTGCCAAATAAAGTACCAGTAAAGATATCTGACGTGGCTGTCGGTTCGAATAGCTCATCTATATCGAATTCGTCCGGTAAGTCCGTAGGCACGCCATAAGTTGGTAGATCGGACTGATTTGGCAGCATACGAGAATCGATAGACATTTCAAGAGTGCCTAGCGATAGGGAAGCCAATTCAGGCTCTGATTGTGGTTTAGAAGTGCTGCCTCCTGCATGGGGCCGAAGGAGATGTCGTTTCAATGCTGATTTACGAGAAAATCTAGCGTGACAGAATATTAGTAGGGCAATATGAAGATAGTAATCCCAATATATCTGGAGGTACCTTTGGTTGCAAGACACGATAGAGCAGATATAAGGCTTCTCGTTAGTATGAGTGCGCTGGTGCCTAGCGTAGCTTGATGGCTAGACTGGTATTTAGCTCTAAGTGAGTCAAACGGGAGGACAGAATCCTTAATACTCATTTTGTATGAATGATCCCACTTACATCGGCAAAGACATTGTGACAGTTATCAGCCGCACAAGCGTAGGGCTTTTCACCAGTATGCACTCTCTGATGAACCTTCAATGAAGACCGCTGGTTGAAACGTTTGTTGCAGCTTTCTTCGGGACAGGCAAAGGGCCGCACATTTGTATGTATCTGATAATGTCGGGAGAGATCGGCTCTCCGAACGAAAATCTGTTACGGGCATGTCAGTATGTTCATTCATTACCAAGAATCATTCTAACCTTTTTGCAAGTGTCCCATGGGCACTGGAAATGGCGCATTTTGTGTAGTACACTTTTTTGATGGTTGACTAGCACTCCTAGATTTAGCTGGTCGAGTGGGTGCGTTAAGAGCTCTGCAAGCAGAAAGCAGTAAGGTAAAAAGGACAAAAGGAAAAGAAAAGAGTGAAATTTCCACACTCAAACTGCAACCAACTATCCCTGTGGAGCTGGCTATAGCTCTATACCTAAATATCCCCTATGCTATGGTTGCATACGCCAAATACCCCAGTTGAACCAGAAAAAGATTTTGTGCTAGACAGAAGCAAAATTAGACCGATATTCCTAGAGGGCTCAGAATTGCAAACAATTTTCGCCCTGTGCTATGGTCACAATCTTTCGCCAAGCTCCAAACCCCATTCGCTGAGCTTAACTCCCTGAAATTTTTTTTTTTTTTTTTTT